CCTCAGCCTCCCAAAGGTGCGGGATTACAGGCTGAGCCACCGAACCCGGCTGCTGTCCTCTCTTTTAATCCTGGAGTAAAACTGAGCACCCCTGCTTTGCAGGTGAGGAGACTGAGGCACAGAGAGGCTAAGTAATTTGCTTAAGGCTTCCCAGTGCGTAAGCAGGATTTGAACCTACACAATCTTTTTAGAGTTCATCCCTTTCTCCCTTCCTGTGGTGCTAATTAAACATGTTGTCCAGCGAAGTGCTTAGCACAGCATAGGGTGGGGCTCACGGAGGCAAACGGTGGGGGTTAGCTTTAGTCCTGCCTAACTCAGTCCCTGTCCAGGCAGTTGCCAAGTGACTTGAGCTCTTACTTGGCTGTGTGCGACTCTGGTGAGCCATTCCCTGCCTCAGTCTCATCTGTGAAATGGTGGTGAGCAGCTCCAGGGTGCTGTGCCTCCCCTGCCTAGGGCTTCCTCCCTCACCTAGACACGTTGTCTTTTTGCTCTCTCCTCCCAGTCAGCTTATACCCTGGGCTTGGTCACCTTCTACTGTAGCTGGGTCTGGCTGCATCTGAGAGCTCACTGGGACTCCCTAAGACAGTGGGGCCAAAAGCATGTGGAGATGACCAGACACAGGTAGTCAGGCGGTCCGAGTGGAGCCCTGGGACCCCGTAGCTGAGTTTGGTCTAAGTGGAGGTAGTGGGCAACTTTGGGGCATGGTGAAGGGACATGAGCCCTGGAGAAAGACACAGCTGGGTTCCACCCCAGCCCCTGCTGGGGTACGTGCCATCTCCTTTCTGAGTCTGTTGTCTCATCTGGAATTTGGGGGTGACGTACTGAGAAGCATCATACCTGTCATCCTTGATACCCGGCAGTGCCTGGTCCAGAGCTGGCCACTGCATGAGCTGCCTGTTCCTTTTTCCCACCTCGGCGCTGCAGGTTGGAGGCACAGAAGAGGCTGCCTCGCCTCCTCTACCCTTCCTGTGTGCCAAACTCTTATCCCCTGGTCCCCACAGTTTGCCCTTGAGTGATTTGCTGAGGCACAGGAAGGGCCATGGGGTGTGGGGGCAAGTGGAGACAGCAACCGCTCTGGAGGAGAGAATGAAGTCTATAGACATGCCGGGAAGCAGCAGGCAGCACCCAAGGAGCATGGGTTGAACTTGAGTGGCTGGATGTACTTCAAGACTTTGGGCTGCCATGTGCTTGCTGTTCCCTGGGCCTTTGCCCCATCTAGATGTGGGAGGGCTTGGGTTTCTGGGACCTCTCTTACAGTTCTGTTGAGTGGAGCTCATTAGGTGGTGGCTGGAAGCCCTGGCTGTGACCCCTCTCAACCACCCACTTGCTCGTCCGTACAGCTCTCCACACCTCCCGCCTCTCGCACTCGGAGCCACCCTCAGCCACGCCATCGCCAGCCCTCAGTGTGGAGAGCTTGTCGTCAGACAGCCCAAGCCAGACTGCTGGCGGGAAGCTTCTGGAGCCGCCAGCTGTGCCCAAGAGCTCCTCGGAGCCTGCAGTCCATGCCCCTGACACCCCTGGAAACCCTGCCAGCCTCTCTGCCGACTCCTCCCTGTCCTCCTCTGGTGAGCTAGTCCAGCCCAGTGTGGAGCGGACACCTCAAGCCAGCCCTGGCCTTGCCCCCAGGACCAGGGGCAGCCCAGGGCCCCCGCCAGCCAAACCTTGCAGTGGCGCCACCCCAACCCCTCTCTTATTGGTTGGAGACAGGAGCCCTGCACCTTCCCCCGGAAGCTCATCCCCACAGCTGCAGGTAAAGGTGAGTGCTGTCTCACCCCCACTAAAATCTGTGTCCTCTCTAGTGGACGTGGGTCTGGTCTGCCCAGGGCCTTCCATTCTTGCTGGCCCCTGACTTTTGAGTGGCTTTAGCTACGTCCATCTACCCACTCCCTACTCTGTTCGTTGAGGCACAAACTCCTTCCATCCATCTGCCAGAGGCCCCACCCATCTAGCCACCTGTCCTCTCCCTTGGCCCTCCATATCTTACTCATCCAGGCCCCTGTTTGCCTGCCTGTCCCCTGCACTGGCCTATTTGGGGTCCACTCACCAGCTACCAGTCATCCCACATCTTCTGTCCACCTTTCCATTTACTCAGACTCTGTTGATGCCAGACCCTGGGCTTAGCTGCATTAAGATTCTGTCCTTGCCCTCCAGGGGCTCATAGTCTGCTCAGGGAGACAGGTGTAAAGATTGTTCTAGAAGATCAGCTGGGTGCAGTGGCTCACGCCTGTAATCCCAACACTTTGGGAGGTTGAGTTGAAGGATTGCCTGAGTCCAGGGGTTTGAGACCAGCCTGGGCAACGTGGCAAGACCTCATCTCTACAATAAATCAAAAAAGCTAGCCAGGTGTGACCCATGCCTGTGATTCCAGCTATTTGGAAGGCTGAGGTGGAAGGATCACTTGAGCCTAGCAGGTCAAGGTTGTGGTGGCCATGTCTGTGCCACTGCATTCTAGCCTGGGTGACAGAATAAAACTACTCAAAAAGAGAAAGATGATAATCTGGGGTAGAGCACAGAGGGGAGGGGCTGACTCTCTTCTCCAGAGCCCTCACCCTCTCCATCATCAACCAGGACAGCTGGGGTCACTGAGCACCTCCTGCGTGCATGGGCCACCTGGGCACTGGGTTCCTTGGTATGGGGAGATGGGGGATGGGTCTGCTTTGTATTCACCCCTTCCCCCGCTAAGTAGCCCCTTTAAACCCATTTCCTGTCCTGAGCCGTGTGGAGGTTGGTCTGAGGGAATTCTGAGAAAAGGCTGGAAGGCCTGGAGTGGCTCAGAGGCTCCGGACTGTTTGGCTTTGCTGGGCCCCCCCAGGTGTGTTTGTGGAGGGAAGCGGCAGAACCCCAAGTATGCCTCCTTCCGGGGGACCCCACCCCACCCTCACCCTAGGATGAGGAGAGAACTTCAGAGGCAGTGGGAGCAGGAGACAGGGCTCTTGAGTGGCCGCCCTGTCCCAGTAGATGGGTGCTGCCCTGTGGGAACCAGATTCTGGTCCAGGCTCACTCCCTGCTTCAAAAATCCCAGAGCAGCTCCTACCCTGAACGAATCTCTCCTTGAGCTGACACAGTCCCCACCCCTGCCCCCAGCAGCTGAGAGCTCCTTGGAGCACCCAGGCCTCAAGTGAGACCTGTGTAATGGGCCCAGGGTGACACCTCTGTTTCTTTTTTTTTGAGTTGGAGTCTCACTCTGTCGCCTAGGCTGGAGTGCAGTGGCATGCTCATGGCCACCGCAGCCTCGGCCTGCTGGGCGCAGATGATCCTTCCACCTCAGCCTTCCAAGTAGCTGGAACTACAGATGCACGCCATCACACCCAGCTATTTTTTGTGATTTAGTGTAGAGATGAGGTCTCACCATGTTGCCCAGGCTGGTCTTGAACCCCTGGGCTCAGGCAGTCCTCTCGCCTCAGCCTCCCAAAGTGCTGGGATTACTGCCACCGCACCTGGCCAGGAATCTTTCTAGAGGTATAGAAGGACACAGGCTGGGCTCTGGGTGTATAGGTGGGGGACTGGGCAGCAGAGGGTAAGGGTCTTTCTCAGCCAGGGAAGGAGCTATCCTTCTCCATCTGCTGGCCAGAGGGTGGGGGACCCCTGCTCTTGCACTTCCTGGCTGGGTGACCCCAGGAGAGGAGCTTTACCTCTCTGGGCCTCAGAGTCCCTATTGGGATGGTGGCGATGAGGCCTAAATGACTCACCCTCAGTCCCACGGCCCCTCAGTGCTAGATGGCTGACTGGGCCCTGAAACTGATAGGTTCTCACTTCCACTTGGGCCCTTGGGAAGTATGTGCCCTTAAGCAAATTGCTTAACCTCTCTGAACTTGAGTTTACAGAGCTGTGAAATGGGCATTACAATAACCACTTTGCAGGATGGCTGTGAGAATTAAATAAGAATGCATAACAAGCTCTGTCGTTGATTTTGAAAAAAAGGAAGAAAGAAAGGAAAGAAAAAGAGAAGTACCAGTGGCACATGGGAGGTGTTCTGGAAATAGAAACATTTGTTGAATGACTGAGTGCATCAGAGATGGATTTGGGGAGACTCTCTCCTTGACTTGGCCCTCCTGCCCTGCCGTCCTGGCCTGCTTTTCCTATTCCCACTCGACCAGGCTGCTGGGGTCTTAATTACTCCCTTCCCCGACTTATCGTCTGTCATGTCTCCCTCCTTTTAGTCTTCCTGCAAGGAGAATCCTTTTAACCGAAAACCATCACCTGCAGCATCCCCAACCACAAAGAAGGCCACCAAAGGATCCAGACCAGTGAGGCCACCTGCCCCAGGACATGGCTTTCCGCTTATCAAACGCAAGGTACCAACTGGGAGCTCCCAGAGACCTAGTTGACCTGGGCCTCACACCCTCCAGTTGGCTGCTGCAGGCTTCCATGGGACACTTAGGCCCCTGTCTGGGCAGCTGCCCTCAGAGGCCCAAGAGAGGGTTTCTGGCGGCCCAGCTGGAAGGTCTAACTTGCAGCCAGGGATTTAGAGCTGATCAGCCCTCCCAGCCAAGAGCAGTGAGTGGTGTGTTTAATTTGTTACAGTAGTTCAAGTACAAAGCACTCATGTGATATGCTACTACTTAAACTGATTAGAGTGTTCCCAAGTTTATCTCTGTAACATGGTCATTCTCACCGACATTGTGATATCCTTCCTGGAGTGGCAGAGAAGGGGAGGCGTGTCCATGAAGGCAGGAGTTGTGCCTCCCTCTGGTGTGTCTATTGGTGCTGGGACCGGTGGCATGCAGGGCTTGTGGCTGTCCCCACACTGACCCCTCCCTCATACCGAGACCCTGCCTTCTTACCCTGCTGGTGCAGAGGGCAAGATCTGGGCGCTGGAGCCTGCAGAGTCCCATGCTGGCCTGAAAAATGGACAAAGCTCCTGGCAGTAGCTGAGCCAGGGGAGGGCAGGCAGGTGGAGGGGTCGGCCATCCTCAGGTGACCAGGGTGCCGTTTGACAGGTCCAGGCTGACCAGTACATTCCCGAGGAGGACATCCATGGAGAGATGGACACCATTGAGCGCCAGCTGGATGCCCTGGAACATCGTGGGGTCCTGCTGGAGGAGAAGCTGCGTGGTGGTGTGAATGGTGCGGGAGCTCTGGGTGGCCTGGCGGGTGGGGCTGGGGCAGAGCCTCTATTCCTGGGGGAGTCAGGAATGGCTGCCTGCCCTGGCTTCAGAGGGTGTCTGGCTTCCAGAGGGCCGTGAGGACGACATGCTGGTGGACTGGTTCAAGCTCATCCACGAGAAGCACCTTCTGGTGCGGCGGGAGTCCGAGCTCATCTATGTGTGAGTCCCCCGCCATGGCCCCTGGTTTCCTCCCTGAAATCTGTAGGTATTAGAACTAGAACCTTCGCCCTCCTGCCTCCTCCCTCCTCCTGTCTCTGTCATCACTGACAGCACAGCGCAGGGCTGCCTGACCCAGGCAGAACTGTTACCTTGTTCCCATTCCCTAGCTTCAAGCAGCAGAACCTGGAGCAGCGCCAGGCTGACGTCGAGTATGAGCTCCGGTGCCTTCTCAACAAGCCAGGTGAGCTTAGCCACCCGCATTCCCCTGGCACCTGCCCCGGGGCCTGGTGACACCGAGGAGTGGGCTTGGTTCTTCCCCTCCAAGCTGGAGAGTGGACGGATAGAGGTCCAGTGGGGGATACAGCAGACTGGAAACAGGGCCAGAGGAGGAGGGGCAGGGAAGGGCTGTCTGGATCACCTTTGAGACGGGAGAAATTGTAGCAGGTGGTAAGTAGGCTAGCGCCATGGCAGGAGAGGGAACCACAGGACAGTGGGGGTGCAGACATTTGTGGGGTGGGGGGTGATAGGCTGTCAGTAAACACCAGGCCCATGAACAGCCTGGCCTGATTTGGGCATGGGGTCAGACAGCCCTGTGTTCTGCCACTAATTCGCTGTGTGACCTTAGGCAGGTTTCTTAGCCTCACTGAGCCTCAATGGCTCCAAGTATTAGATGGGATTGGAGGCACCTACCTCGTCAGGAATTCTTGGAACCAGGAGATAGTGGATGTAGAAACTTCCTGCACCCTCTGAGGCACCGGTGGTGGATGGATATCATGTGACTGATTTGGCCTTTGTTAAGGGAGGGCCTCTTACGTGCCCTGTGGCACTTGCAGTGAACCACAGCAGCAGGCAGGGAAACCCCAGGACTGCGGAGAGTCAGCTAAGAGCCAGGGCTTCCTGACCACTTTCTTAATGGCCCAGGCATGGCGCCAGCCCTGGGCAGTGGGCCACTGCAACCACTTAATAGATGGAATATGGGACTTGCCCATTGGTGATGGGGTTAGGTGTCCATCTGTGTCTCTGACCTGGGTCTGTCCTTGTACACACAGTCCTGCTGGGACAGTGGCAGGGAACTCTCCACTGACTGGGGAACTTGGGAGACTGGAGTGTCCCTGGGGATGCCATAGAATGCCCCAGGCTTTGCTACCATCTGTGAGTCACTCCCAAATCTCCAGGAGGCTAGGGTGTGGCCACCACTCAGAGGGAGCCGCAGCAACACCTTGTGACTGGAATAGGTGCAGTACCTCTGCCTCCCCGGTCAACCTGCTGTTGCCTCTCCAGCCCCCTGTGTGGTGGCAGCACATCCCGGGCTTGTTGGCCTGTCCCAGGTGTTGTTTTGGAGGATGAGGCTAGTTTATGAGGCCCGAGTCCAGTACACCAGCAGTCCCCAGCCTTTCTGGCATCAGGGACCAGTTTCATGGAAGACAATGTTTCCACAGACTGGGGGTGGGGGATGGTTTTGGGATGAATCAAGCACATAACATTCATTGTGCACTTATTTCTATTATTATTACATTGTAATATATAATGAAATAGTTTTATAACTCACTGTAAAAAAAGAGGCATGGACAGAGTAGAGTGGTAAATAAAATAATGGATGGGCCACGTGTGGACTAAATTAAGTGTTGGATTCCGACTTAAAGCCTGTCACCAGATGCAGCTGTATAGTTGAAGTACATCAACTCACTTGCCACTCACTGATAGGGTTTTGTTAGAGTCTGCAAGCAATTTATTATGGTCTCTCTGCAGTCAAACCTCACTGCTTATGTTAATCTGTATTTACAGCCGCTTTCCAGTGCAATATCACTGCCTCAGCGCCACCTCAGAGCATTAGGCATTAGATTCTCATAAGGAGCATGCAACCTATACCCCTTACGTATGCAGTTCACAGTAGGGTTCACACACCTGTCAGAGTCTAATGCCTCCTCTGATCTGGCAGAAGATGAAGCTCAGGCAGTAATGCAAACAATGGGGAGCAGCTATAAATACAGATGAAGCTTTGCTGGCTTGCTGCTCACCTCCTGCTGTGTGGCCTGGGTCCCTACCAGGCCTTGGACTGCTACAGGTCCATGGCCTAGGCATTGGGGACCCCTATAATACACCATAAGGGCCATTGCTTGGGGGTGTCCAGCTGCCCAGGTTCAAATGCTGACTCTACTTTCACTGTGTGATGCTGGTCAAAGATTTAACTTCTCTGAGCCTCTGTTTCCCCATGTGTAGACTGGGCACATAACTTACTCAGGTCCCAGACTTGGGAAGGGGCAGACTGAGATTTGAACTTGGGTGATGAATCAGGCCCTGGTCTGTCCCCAGAACTAGTCTGGGCCACCTGCTCCTGAACTTTGGTCAGGCGAGGCCATAGGAGAATAGGGCAGTGACTCAGGGGCCTCAGGATATTTGTTTCAAGTTGGGGAGGTCTGTGGCAGGAGATGTTGTGGAGGGAAGGCTAAGTGTGGGCGCCCGTCCCCAGAGCCTGCGGACTGGGAGGATGGGAACACCGAGGCTCAGGTGGGTCTCTGAGGATGGTGCTGAGAGATGTCTGGGGCCTCGAGGGGGAGAGGCCGGAGAGGTGGCAGGTGTGCACAACGTCAGGGAAAGCTGCTGCTGGGCTCCCTGCCTCCAGCATTCCCTCTAGTCTACCCTCTCCACGGCCTTGGACGCTGTCCTGATATGCCACTTGGGTCACACTGCTTCTCCTGCATGAGGACCCTGGGCTTCCCGTTATCTCTCACCCTTCCTCACTCGGTCTACCACATCCTGCCCCCGGCAAGAAGCCACCAGTGAACACTGGTTGAGGGGTGAATGAAGGTGAGCAGGAAACCTTGGCAGGGCTAGCCTCTTCTGGAGCAGACCCTATGCTGTGCTGGCCCTGCCGGGACCCCTTGCGGGGGTTGGTAGGCAGCCTAGTCTTCCTGGTCTCTTCTGTCACAACCTGCCTTTCCCCATGGACTTGCGAGCCCCACCCATCTGGCACTTCCTTCCTGTGCCCTCGGGACTTAGCACAGGGTTGACCTGTAGCCTGCCCACAGCACTTAGGCAGTGGCAGTGGCTCCTGGTGGCCTGGGGAGGAGGAGGGTTTCCTGTCACTCATACCCCCAGGTTTTCTCCCCGGGCAGAAAAGGACTGGACAGAGGAGGACCGGGGCCGGGAGAAGGTGCTGATGCAGGAGCTTGTGACCCTCATCGAGCAGCGCAATGCCATCGTCAATTGCCTGGACGAGGACCGGCAGAGGTGACGTGGCTGGGGGTGGGGGCTCCTGGGTGAGGGGCCCACAGCAGGTTGTGCCTAGGACCCCCATGGGTGGGGCAGCCCTGGCAGAGCCCAAGACATAGTCTCACACCCCAGGACCAGCACACCTTGCTCAGCCCTGTGTGGACGGAGGCTGGAAAGGACTTGGAGACTATTTGCTCTTTCCTCCTGTGGCATACTCAGCTTCTCTTTCTCATATCAGGGAGGAAGAGGAGGACAAGATGTTGGAAGCCATGATCAAGAGAAAAGGTAAGGTCCTTCCTGGGTTTGAGCCTGATGCCTAGAAGTTCTGGCCCACTTGAACTTCAACTTGGGGGATGGAGGGTAGGGGGTGGTTGAAGGAAGGGTTAGAGCCTCCTGAGCCTCTGGGAGACTACTGTGCTGGGAATGCTGTCTGAGGCAAGGGAGGCCAGCCTACAGCCAGGAAGGCTGGGCCCAGGCTTGGAGGGTGGCCATGGGATGCCCTGATGCCCACAAGGAGGAGGACTGAGGTCTGTGGGGTGCATGTTCCCAGGGTGGGTTTGCCTTAAGCTGTGTATTCTTCCTTGAGCTCTGCAGCTGGTTTTGGCGGGTCCCTGGACCTAAACAGGATGCCTCCTAGGGATTGGGTGGTGCCTGGTACAGTTTAAAAAAGAGCACTGGCTTGTGAGTTAATGGATCTGACTTTGATCTTGGTTCCACCAGTGACTCACTTTATGGCCTTGTGGTTAAGTCTGACTCCACTCAGGTAGTTAGTCCATTTCAAAGGCCCACATTTTCCTTGTCTATAAAATTAGGGGCTTGGACAGAAGATTTCTGAGAGTTCTCCAGCTCTGACAGTCAGCATTTGTGTGTGAGCCGCAGCCTCGGTGCATCGAGTCTTTTTTTTTGAGTTGGGGGTCTCACTCTGTCACCCAGGCCAGGGTGCAGTGGCATGATCATGATGATCACGGCTCACTCATAGCTCACAGCAGCATCAACCTCCTGGGCTCGCACCACCATGTCCGGCTAAATTTTTGATTTTTTGTAGAGACGAGGTCTCACTATGTTGCCCAGGCTGGTCTTGAACCCCTGTACTCAAGTGATTCTCCCACCTCGGCCTCCCAAAGTGTTGCGATTATAGGAGTGAGCCATCATGCCCGGCTGGTGCATTGGGTCTTTTAAAGGCCAATGTATGTTACACTTCAGAGTTCCCAGAGGCTCTTGCATAGATTTATCTCCCGATCTTTCCAAACAGTGGGAGAGTGGATGGGGAAGGTGTGGTCCCCAGTCTCTAGATGAAGTGAGAAGGCTGGGAAGGGTGCTGTGACTTGTCCCAGGTTCCAGATGTAAGGTGGAGGGGCTCGGCTGAGCCCCTGCTGACCTCACGCCCAAGCCTGTGTCATGACCCCTGGCCTGCCTTGGATGGACTCCCCTTCCCACTTTGTTAAATGCTCCCTTTTCTCTGCTGCAGAGTTCCAAAAGGAGGCTGAACTCGAAGGCAAGAAGAAGGGCAAGTTCAAGACCATGAAGGTGCTGAAACTGCTGGGAAACAAACGTGATACCAAGAGCAAGTCCCCTGGGGACAAGAGCTAACTTCTAGGAAAACCAGCTGGGGACAACTCCCCCTCCTAGGTCAGCCCTTGCCTGTGCTTTGCTGGTGGGGGGGCACCCTGTTCCCTCAGGTCAGTCATGAGGAAAGAACTCAAGGGGAAGGAGCCTCTGGGGCATGGCCTCTCCCTCCTCAGCGTCTTCCTGGTGGTCTAGGCCAAAGAGTTATCTTCCCTGTTCTCTGAGCCCCAGGCAGCTGTGACTCAGCCCTTCCTAGTATGATTCTGATGATCTTGGATGCTGTGACTGGCCCAAGGGGCAATTAGGGTCTCAGGGTCCAGGGAGGAACTGCAGCTGAGCATGTCCACCTGTTCTTGCTACCAGACCCTGCCGTGGTGGGGCGGTGACCTGGTCCCTCTTTCCTCTGTACTGCATCCACATGGGTTCATAGCTGTCAGGGTTCTACCCATGGCCCCAGGGTTCTGCTCCCCCTAGCAGGCCAGCATGTGGGGGTTGGCACACTGGCTTCTTCCTGCCCCAGCCCTGGCTCTGAGTGCAGGCCCTGTCCAATGCAGGTGCCCCTGAATCTCGGTTTCTCCTCACTCAGGAGCTCTGTTTGTGTGTCTCTAGTTAAGTCTGAGCTCGCAACTGAGTAGTCTGTGCTGTCAGGCATGAATGGATCTGATGGGCAAATCCCTCTCTTTCTGCCTCAGAGTTCTAGGAGATGCTTCCCTCATCTCCCCTTACCCCACAGGGAGCCTGCTTTCCATGACCAGGGCTGCAAAGGCCATGCTGGGGAGGTGGGTGCCCCTCTTCATCCCCCCGATTCCTGAGCCCCCAAGGGTCCCTGGGAGCAGGGCTGGTTGCAGTTCTCGTTCCTGATCATGAGCCCAGGAGGCTTCAAGTAGGTGCTAATCCTGGCTCTTTAACACGCTGTCCTCTGACCCCTAATTATGGCTTTCCTCTGCCACCTCAGGCCTGGGGAGAGGGGCTGAACATTCCCGTTTGTGGTCATTACTAGTCTGTCTCCTCTGCTGTCTGTTCTCTCTCTGACTCTGACTCATTCCCACTGAGGACTGACGGCTGCTCACCTCACTGGGATAGCTGAAGGAGAGGAGGAGATATAGGGACAACCACATTTTCCCCAGGGAATGTGCCCAGCAGTTCTTGGTCAAAGCACTCTTATCTCTGGGATGAACTATCTCTGGGCTGCCATTCCCTCAAAACATCTCTGGGAAAGGATCACACTGTATTAACACTTGAGGATTTTCCTCACCAACAATAAACAGACAACCTCAGTTGCCAATGCCCTGTAGCCTTGGGCCATAGCCATGTCTGCCTTCCTGCCTGTTTCTGCCATGCCTTGTGGCTGGGCATCTTTGGTCCCCAAGGCCCTGGGGCCATGTTGGGGCCATCTTCCGAGAGGAGCCTCAGCCCTTACTGCCTGCCATTGGGCAGGATCCCCTTCCTCTGCAGGGAGAGGTGGTTTCCCCTGGCTGCCTCCTTCTGAACATGCCTGTTGACCTGGAGCTAGGGCCATTAACTCCAAGGGCTTCCTGGGGCCAGGTGGGTAACGTACGTGTAACATGCGTGATCCAGGCTGGGTATACCAAGAGGAGGGATGGCTCTGGTTGGCCTTTTCAGTGTCAAGAGACCAGGGTGGTGGGGGCAGGGCGAACTGGAGTGTCTGCCACAGCTCAAGGGACATTCTTCCTCACTCAAGTCAACTGTGGCCAGTGGGAGTGAATGTGCACCCAGTGTTCCTAGACCTTTTCCATTTTTCATAAGCTAGAAATCCAGATTTCGTGTGTAATTTGTAGATGTTGACAACTAATTTGAATTTAAATCAAGAGGAGGCTGATACTATATTGTCAAGAGTGGGCTGAATGTATCCTGGGTTCTCTGGTTGCTGCCTCTAGACCACATGATTGGGCCTTTGAGGTGCAGGACGACTGTGCCTGTCAAATTGTACTCTCTGCCCTCAGGTTCTTGAGGGTGTGTGGACCATGGAGGTCCCTGAGCCAGCCCCTGATCTGGGCCTCTCCTCTTAAAGGCTGTTTTTATTCTGCAAACTAAAATTTGAGTCATGTGATAGGATTGACTCCCTCCAGGTACAAGAGACAGGGTTGGTTGATTATTTCCAAGATATTTTGATGATTTACAGGGACAGGAAAATGACAGGTTGCTGGAGAAGGTATGGCTCATGAGTATCTGAAGCCAGAGGAAGGGAACCACTGTACAGTGGACCAGGCTGGGGTGGGGTTCCTTGTCAGGTGATGCCTCAGCAGCCCTGTGCGCCAGAGCCTCACAGACATGCAAACAGGTGCGAAGGCTGTGGGTTTCCCCCAAAGTCCTACAGCACATGCTGGGGTTGGAACTCCCAAGCCGGGACTCTGTCAGTCTGGGCCCCTCCTGCCCCTTGTGTTTCTTTCTGGGGGTTGTGGGTTTAGTGGAGAGACATACAGCTAACTTTTAACCCTGAGTAGGCCACTTAATAGTTATATGCCCTTCATTATAGTACCTCAGTGATCCTTAGTTTCCACAGAGAGATAATGAACCGTCCCAGGGGTTTACTGAGATAATTCTGTGAGAGTGAAATTCAGCACCTCACACAGCACCCAGCCCTGGGGTGCTGGAGAGCGCGGGTTCCCAGTTCCACTTAGAACTTGGCGAGACCTCATCTCTACAATAAATTAAAAATGAGCCGGGTGTGGTAGCGCACGCCTGTTTCCAGCTACTTGGAAGGCGGAGGTGGAAGGATCGCCAGAGCCCAGCAAGTTGAGGCTGCGGTGGACGGGAGCAGCCACTGCACTCCAGTCTGGGTGACAGAGTGAGACTCCAACTCAAAAAAAGAAAAAAAAGAATATGCAAACAGGAAGCTAGAAGCCATCTGTGCTTGACATATTCTAACTCCTTGAACAAATACACTTATTCCTTTGAAAACAAAATGGTGCTTGTAATGACTCACATTAAATGTGTTTTGTTGGCCAGTTAATCATTGTGGTTGAACATTTGCCCAAGGCAGTAAGAAGTCAAGTAAGTAGATTCTAAGACAGGAAGAAAGGAATTGTATTCATTCCTAAACTCAGAGAACGAAATGAGCAGGACACAAAGAGGCTGAAGGTGGTGGGAAGAGGGCCCGGCAGATGCCTTTGGACACATGTCCAAGAGGGAAGATCTGGGCCTTGATTTCATGGTGGATGGGGCTCTTTCCCCCAGAAAAGTCTCGAAGTCTGTGTCTGGGTTTCAAGGCTCCAACAGCATCCCAGGGTGGGGGCTAGGCTGCTGTGTATGTCCTGGGGTACCATAGCCAGGGCAGTGCTGCACAACCATTTGACATAGCCAAAGGCTGGTATGGCGGGCTGACTTGGGGATGACCTTGCTTGGCAAAAGGGTGGTTGAAGTTGGGCTACCCTGCCCCGTCTCTGGAGATGGGTTTAGTGGTGGCAAGAGCCTTCCCAAGCTCGTTGCTCCTCTTGTGGTCAATGACTTCCATTTCCATTTTGGGTTTAGTGGTGGCAAGAGCCTTCCCAAGCTCGTTGCTCCTCTTGTGGTCAATGACTTCCATTTCCCGTAGCTTCTGCAAAGGCATCAGGGAAAGCTGATGGGTGGGGGGGGCACAGATCCCGAGGTGCCATCGCAGCTGTGGCTAGAGCTTGCCTCCTGAGGCCTGTGGCCACAGCTGGCCCTTTATTTCCACTCCAGCCCTTCCTGGTGGTTTCTCCTACCTGGGAGATTTCAGCAAGGATGACTGCTCGGTACTGCTTGCCCTGTCCCAGGGCCTCCATGTCGGCCAGGAATTCTTTCCTTTCCTGAATTTCCTTCACCACTGGACAGAGAAGGGCCATCAGTGCATGGGTAGCGGGGACTTTCAGGCTCCTGTGAGGGGTGTGTGGTGGTGGGTTGCCTTTCTTAGGGGAGAGGACATAGTTCTGCTGTCAAGTTGGCCCTCAGGGATCCCCTCACTGCTCCATCCAGGCTCTTCCTCATATCACTCCCCACCCACAGCATGACTGGCCCACTGGTGGCTTACGCTCTTCAAACCGGTCTAGCTCGGGGGCTGGGTCCACCTTTCGCGCAGGAGGGGCCTTTCTTTTCCATTTCTCTGGGTCCTTCCCAGTGGCAAAGATATTTTGGAGTCTTCGTTTCTCCTTCTCCAGATCTCCTGTAAGGCCCAGAAATGGCATAGTTCGGGCATGAAGGGCATCTCCATTCGTGGTCTGTCTCACATGCTTGCTGCGGGGTGCCCGGGTCTTGTGGACAGGGCTTCTGCAGCATGGCATGTCAAGATAGGAAGAGGTTGACAGAGCCAGGAAAGAGCACACCCTGCTTTGGGCAGAGCAAAGCAGAAAAAACTCAGGACCTGTGGCCTCCATGTTGCCTGCAGTGGCAACCTTTGTGTAGGGGCTGCGGAGAGACATTAGGAGGGTCTGGGCCAAGAGTTATGTCAGATGCCAAGTAGGAAGAGGAGAGGAACACCTCTGTGACATGGGCTGTAGTGCAGAGGAACTGGGCTTGAGGGACTGACAGACAAACATTCATCAGGGATTGGTATAATCCAGTTAATCATGAGAGTTCTGGAAAATAAAAGAGGTTTCCCCTGCACCCCGAACCACCCCCAAACTAACACGTACCAAGGCTCAAGAGCATTAGTATAAAAAGCATGAGATTGGATTAGATGCTACTCACCTGCCCTGTGGTCTGGCTCCTATCCCTCCCCCACCTCCCCCAGGGGGATGGAGAGAGGCTCAGGCCCTTTCACTTACTGGTGACTTGAGGCTTGAACTGCTCCCGCCTGTAGGCCCCATTGGCTTGGCACATGCTGGCAGGCCGGAGGTGGGACCTGGCTGTCAGGATAGGAGGCAGGTAGATGGGTGAGGCCGGCTGCTTGGAAGGGGAGTCCCTCTGGCTGGAGTTTGGGCCACACTGCAATGGCAAAGAGTCTCCTCCTGGGGGAGGAAGTGGGAATGGGAGAGCGCACCTGGGTTTGATACCTACCTGTTACAACAGTCAAACAGCACAGAAGAGTCTTCGCTTCTCCCTGCAATCTCACCCTCAATTTGGTGGTCTCCCCGATTTCTGATGCTTATATGAACGTGTTCAGAGTTGCTTGTGCATATATTTTATATATGCGTATAAGATTCTTTTTTTTTTCAAACACTGGATCATACTGTAATATATTCAGTAACAGACACTTTTCAATTAACAATTTATCATGGACATCTTTCCAGATCAACCCATTTATATATAACTTATTTTTTATAGCTGTATACTAGTCCTTAGAATGGATACATTATTTATTCAGCTAGCCTCCTAATCCAGAAATTCAGGTTGTTTCCAGGTTTTTTTGTTTTTGTTTTTTACTGTTTCAAACAATGCTGCAATAAACATTCTTGGACATCTTATCTTTGTACTGGTGCTTTTATTTCTATGGATGGGTTCCTAAAACTTTCTGCTTGGTCTACATGCAGGGAGGGACAGTTTGGATGGTAATAGACACCGATCTCTCCTGCTATCTAGTCCCTCCCCTTGCCTCAGCCATGGCTGGGGCTCCTCACCCAGGCCAGCCAAGTGTGTCACCCTCCTGTCTGGTCAGTTGACCCTTCCTCTCAACTTCCCTAAAACCCAGCTTAGAGCAGCCCCAGCCACTGTTCTTTTTTTTTTTTTGAGTTGGAGTCTCACTCTGTCATCCAGACTGGAGTGCAGTGGCTGCTCCTGGCCACCGCAGCCTTGACCTGCTGGGCTCCGGCGATCCTTCCGCCTCAGCCTTCCAAGTAACTGGAACTACAGGGGTGCGCTACCACGCCCGGCTGATTTTTTTGATTTATTGTAGAGATGAGGTCTTGCCAAGTTGCCCAGGCAGGTCTCGAACCCATGAGCTCAGGCAATCCACTCACCTCAGCCTCCCAGAGCACAGGATTATGGGCTGAGCCACTGAGCCCGGCTTCAGCCACTGTTTCAATCTGTGCCTGTCTACCCTTACCTACTTGTCTATACCTCTTTTATATCCATTCAGCAAATGTGTATCGAGGATCTGCTCTGTGCCAGGCAATGGACACTGGAGGAAAGTGGGAAGTAAGACAAAGTTCTGCCCTCCTGAGGTTGGGGGAAGGGTGTGGATGATGATAAAATATGTAACATACACTGTATAGTATTTTTAATTTTTTCTTTGGAGATGGGGTCTCACTCTGTCACCCAGGCTGAGGTACAGTATGATCATAGCTCACCTCAGCCTCGAATTCCTGGTCTCAAGCAATCCTCCCTCCTCAGCCTCCTGAGTAGCTGGTACTGCAGATGTATACCACCATGCTCAGCTTTTTTTTTTTTTTTTAATTTTAGAGACAGGCTCTCACTATGTTGCCCAGGCTGGTTTCCAGCTCCTCGCCTCAAGTGTTCCATCTGCCTCAGCCTACCAAAGTGCTGGGATTATATGTGTGAGCCACTGTTCCTGGCCTCTTAGATGGCTGGAGCATGGGGTGTGTCACAGCGGGATTTACAGTTTTAATAGGGTAGCCAGGAAGGCCTCAAGAAGGGTTAACTTATGAGAAAAAACCTGGGGAGGCCTGATGGAGAGGAGGCCAGCTTTGCAGGCATTTTGGGGGAAAGCATTCCAAACAAGGGAACAGCTAGAGCAAAGGTGCTGAGGTGGGAATGTGCCCAAAGTGTCTGAGAAACAACCAGGAAGTTAGGGTGGCAGGAATGGAGTGAAGAAGTAAGAGTTAGAGGTCAGAGGTCATGGAGGCCCCTGGAGAGACTGGCTTTTACTTTGAGTGAGGTGGGGAGCCATCTAAGGGTTCTGAGCAGAAGATGTACCATTTGGCTGCTGTCGAAAATCCAGTGTACAGGGCCAAGGGCAAGGGCAGGGAGACCAGCAGTGAGGCCACCCAAGTAATGTGGAGTGATGGTGGGATTCTGGGCCAGGGTGGTGGCAGAGAGGGTGGGGAAAGGTGTCAGGGACAGGATATGGCTTAGAGGTCCAGCAGACTGAATTGCTGATGGATTGGATGTGGGCTCTGAAAGGAGGAGCATCAGGGATGACTCCAAGGTGTCTGTCCTAAGGAACTGGAAGGATGGAGCTCTACCCAGAGCCACACCACACCTCTGTCTCTCTTCCCTGAAGAGTTGTTGTGCTTCCTAGAATGTCCCTCCCACCCCTTCCACTCCGTAGCTCTACTCCTTTTTTTAATTTTGCGTTGAAGTTGAACTCTGTTGACTAGGCTGGAGTGCAGTGGCACGCTCACAGCCACGGCAGCCTTAACCGGTTGGGCTCAGGCAGTCCTTTTGTCTCAGCCTCCCAAGTAGCTGAGACTACAGAAGTGTGCCACCATGCCCAAACTTCTGGGCTCAAACAATCCTCTTGCCTTGGCCTCCCAAAGTGCTGGGAGTAAAGGCATGACCCACTGTGCCCAGCCGTATATAACTTTTATTGTTATAATTCTATTTACAACTAGTTATTGTTCATTCCACTGAGATTACATGTATGAGCCATTGTGCTGGGCGGGGGACCACATTTTCAATGCTCCTTCATATTGAGGAGAGGACCTCATTTTAAAAGACAAAGACAGGTCATGTAGCTCACACCTGCAAACCCAGGAGGCTGAGGCAGGGGGATTGCCTGAGGCTAGGAATTGGAGACCAGCTTGGTCAACATAGCAAGAGTCATCTCTCTTAAAAAAAAAAAAGGCGGCTCGGTGGCTCAGCTGGTAATCCCGCATTTTGGGAGGCTGAGGTGAGTGGATGGCCTGAGCCCACGGGTTCGAGACCCACCTGGGCAACTTGGTGAGACCTCATCTCTATAATAAATCAAAAACTAGCTGGGCGTGGTAGCGCACGCCTGTAGTTCCAGCTACTTGGAAGGCTGAGGTGGAAGGATCGCCGGAGCCCAGCAGGTCGAGGCTGCGGTGGCCGGAAGCGGCCACTGCACTCCAGTCTGGGCGACAGAGTGAGACTCCAACTCAAAAAAAAAAATTAAAAAAAGCTCAAATTCCTCTGCCCAGGAAGCCTCTGTGGACTGCTCCTTACTTTTCATGGTGTCCATAATGTGGCGCTGCTGGAATTTAGTCAGTTTGGATTCCTTCATCATCACTGCAAGGTAAAGCATTTTGTAAGACCTCCTGGGCTGTAGGAGATGCCTTTATCTCACCCTATTGAAATTAAAACTGTATTACCCCCATCCCTATTCTGTACTGAGTACACTCTCTCTACCTTTACTGCTTCAGTTTTTTCTATAGTACCCCAAACCACCTGGTTTTTGTATGTTTTATTTATTATTTGTTACCCTTCTGTATTAGCTCAATGAGAGCAATAAGTTTTGCTTTTTTCCATTTATTTATTTATTTTTTTTGAGTTGGCGTCTCACTCTGTCCCAGATGGAGTGCAGTGGCACGCTCCCAGCCACTGCAGCCTCAACCTGCTGGGCTCTGGCAATCCTTCTGCCTCGGCCTTCCAAGTAGCTGGAACTACAGGCATGCGCTATCACGCCCGGCTAATTTTTTATTTTATTGTAGAGATGAGGTCTCACCAAGTTGCCCAGGTGGGTCTCGAACCTGGAGGCTCAGGCAATCTACTCACCTCATCCTCCCAAAGCACTGGGATTACAGGCTGAGCTACCGAGCCCGGCTCCGTTTTCTTTTTTGTGCTGCTATATTCCCAGTACCTAAAACGTGTCTAAAGCACACAGTAGTTTAAAAAATTTTTTTTTGTTGAGTAAATTAATGAATGAATCCTTGTTCACTCATGTGCCAGGGACTGGAGCTACAATTGTGAGCCAAAACAGACAAGACTTGCCTGATGGAATCATGACCTAGAGGGATACGTGGGCCACTAAAGTAAATATCTGACTACAGGCTGTGCTAAGCCCAGTGAAGGAAATGTATTTCGTAGTGTGTGGGCACATAACAGTAGGTCCTACTGTGGTCGCAGTGGTGGGAAGGAGACAAGGTTACCCTGGGAAAACTGGAAGCCTGATCTAAAGGATGCATGGGTGTTAACCACTCTAAAATTCCTAGTTCTTTGACTTTTGGCCCCTTGCTAGCTGTAGCACCTTGAACCTTTCTGAACTCCAGACTCCTTGTCTGTAAAGGAAAATAGCAATTGCTAAACCACGGGTCATGTAGAGGAGAACTGAGCTACAGAGGGTAACTATTGTCATGGCTCTTCTTGCGTCTTTAAGGCACTGACCTCGGAGCAGCTCGCAGGTTCCTGGAGTGTAAGTGGTCAGCTTGGGGCAGCGCCAGAACCCCGTTCCTTTGGTCACTGCCTCCATTCTCTCCTGAGAAGTGACTGGGGGGGGGGCTGAGGAGGGAAAGATGCAATTACACACCCCTTGTTTCCCAGCCCCAATCTCTGCTCCGTCACACCCAACATCCCCCCCGAAGTATGGAAGCGGGAATCGAGTCTCAAGAAAGTCGTGATGCCACCAGTCAATATTATGACAGCGTCCGATCCTTCCATCCCGACACACACGCAGTTAGATACATACAGAATCCTTATTCTGTAACAGGGAAAATCCCCTAGAGAGAAAGAACATTAAGATAGCCGAGGTCGTGCCGGGCTCGGTGGCTCAGCCTGTAATCCCGCGCTTTGGGAGGCTGAAGTGAGTGGATTGCCTGAGCCCCCGGGTTCGAGACCCGCCTGGGCA